ATATATATAGATATAAATATATATATATATATATATATATATATTCATCAGCATTTACCGTTTACTGATAAAGCATTCGCTGGAAACAACAGGTACACTTACATGTCGCATAGTTTTTAATGCTTGTAAATCCTGAACAAGATAGCCTTGTATATTTGTTATATCATTACTAGCTTCTCTGGCATTCACGCCTGTGCGTTGTTCACCTGTCGTTAGATGAAGCGTCAGAAACGGCACAGCGCATCTGTGTGGGGCTGCGTATTGCGACCGATGTTGGCAAGCGTGCGGGTGCCTTGAGCCGTGTTAGTCGATTAGAGGCTCGTAAGAAGGTAGGTACAGCCGGTAGAGTGAGCTTGTATGTATGCAGCTTTGCTTGATCAGATAAACATGTCTTTGGTAGAGTGTGCAGTGATCTATTTCCCTGTGTGCACGTGCTTCTCCCACAAGCATATAACTATATCTACTACAGAACCTCTCCCACAAACTCATCTCGAAAGTGGTGATAACAAGTCTGACCTTCGTATTCCTATACGTCGTATTCACGGTTCTGGCTGGACAGGGCCGGGGTCCTTTTAGTTTACACATCGGGTGCACTTTCTAGTAGGCTCTCACCGTACAGTACCCTAACCAACCCAGGATCCACTGCACAAACAAATTTGATCTGTATTGTTAAGTACCTGTCACAGTATCCGCCAAGTTACTGATTTGTGTCGTACAGTATTTTCCAATTACCTACCATATCCGTATACTTTTGAAATATCTACCATATCCGTATACTTTTGAATTACCTACCATATCCGTATGTCATCCTTTTCATTGGTGTGTTTAATTACTTGCAGGATATGCGCACTCGGAGAGATGTGCTGAGGCTCGGTGGGGTGGACATCGTGATAGAGTGTAGGTGTCTATATACCATGATGTATGTCATTGGTTGCTGTGGTTGGTGGTTAAAGGGGTGTTGGGGTGGACATCGTGATAGAGTGTAGGTGTCTATATACCATGATGCATGTCATTGGTTGCTGTTGTTGGTTGTTAGAGGGGTGGTGGGGTGGACATCGTGATAGAGTGTAGGTGTCTATATACCATGATGCATGTCATTGGTTGCTGTGG